ATGCTTCTTCCTGCTTCCATCTTCAAAGTGCACAACTCCAGCCTCTGCCTCTTTGCTGCCCCATCTTCTTCTGCTTTTGAACTCTGGCCTCCCTCTAATCAGGATCCTTGTGGTTACATTTAGTGCCCACCTGGAGGACCCAGGACAATCTCCCCCTCACACCAGGAAAGTCCCTTTTGCTCTATGAGAAGATGTGTCCACAGACTACAGGGATTAGGATGTGGACATCTTGGGGGGACCCATGCAGCCTATCCCAGACTTGGAGGCAACCAACATCTCTCTTGAATGACTGTGTAGGGGACTGGGGCCAGGAACCCACGAAACACCCAGGGAGGGGATAGGGTTGAGGGACACCTGGCACTCAGAGGCAAAGATGCGGCTGGGTGTGGTGGCTCATGTCTAATCCCAGCACTTTGGGAAGCTGAGGTGGCAGATCCACGAGGTCAGGAGATTGACACCAGCCTGTCTAACATGGCGAAACCCCATCCCTACTAAAAATACAAAAACTAGCTGGTCTTGACAGTGTGTGCCTGTAATTCCAGCTACTTGGGAGGCTGAGGCATAGGAATAGCTTGAACCTGGGAAGCAGATGCTGCAGTGAGCCACTGCATGCCAGCCTGGGCAACAGAGTGAGACTCTGTCTCAAAAAATAAAAATAGCTGGGCATGGTGGCTCATGCCTGTAATCCCAGCACTTTGGGAGGCTGAGGTGGGTGGATCACAAGGTCAGGCATTTGAGACCAGCCTGGGCAACATGGAGAAACCCTGTCTCTACTAAAAAAAAAAAAACTACAAAAATTAGTCGGGCATGGTGGCACCTGCCTGTAATCCTAGCTACTTAGGAGACTGAGGTTGGAGAGTCATTTGAGCACAGCAGGCTGAGGCTGCAGTGAGCCAAGATCATGCCACTGCACTCTAGTCTGGGTGACAAAGTGAGGCTCTGTCTCAAAAAATAATAAACAGAGTCAAAGGTACTTGAGGAGGCTGTCCTTCAAGACAACGGTTAGGAGTCTAGGCCGAGTCCCAGCTCCCTGCCTTCCTACTCACTGTGGAACCTGGGGCAGGTCACTTGTCTTTGCCTCCATTTCCTCCTCTCTAAAAGAGAGATACAGGCAGGTTGCAAGATGGAGTTTCACCATGCTGCCCATGCTGATCTTGAACTCCTGGGCTCATGTGATCATCCTGCCTCAGCCTCCCAAAGTGCTGGGATTTCAGGTGTGAGCCACTTTGCCTGGTCTGCTGCATTTAAGGATTAAATAATTGAATCCATGCAAAGATCAAAGAGCATTGCCTGGCACAGAAGAGCTCAGCTTCTCTTACATTGAGTTACCAAGTGCCCATAATGGGTTGGGTATTTTTTTTTGAGATGGAGTCTCACTCTGTCACCCAGGGCTGGAGTGCAGTGGCATGATCTCAGCTCACTGCAACCTCCACCTCCCGAGTTCAAGTGATTCTCCTGCTTTAGCTTCTGGAGTAGCTGGTACTGTAGGGGCATGCTTCACCTCGCCCAGCCAATTTTTTGTATTTTTAGTAGAGACGTGGTTTCATAGTATTGGGCAGGCTGGTCTTGAACTCCTGGCCTCAAGTGATCCACCCACCTCGGCCTCCCAAAGTGCTGGGATTACAGGCGTAGCCACCTCACCTGGCTGGGTTCAGTAATTCTCAGCATGTTGCCATTTTTCCAGCCTCCTCCTCTCTCTCCTTCTCTCTCTCTGTCTCTCTCTGTCTCTTTGTCTGTCTCTGTCTTTCTCTGTCTCTCTTTCTCCCACACATACACACATAATTTCTCTTTTTCTTCATTTGAAGTAAGTTGCAAACATCTTGACTATTTATGCCTAAATATTTCAATGCACCTCTCCTAAGAAAAACGCTATATATATTACATATTCACAATAGTATAATCACATTTATAAAACTTAATTCCCTGTTATCCAATGTATGGTCTTCATTCAAATTCCTAAAAATGTTTTCTATGTCTGTTTTCCTCTATGTTATTATAATTTTTCACTGGTTGATGCCTTTAAAAAATTTTTTTAAGACAGTCTTGCTTTTGCCCAGGCTGGAGTGCAGTGGCAAGTCATAGCTTACTGCAGCCTGGACCTTCTAGCCTCAATCCATCCTCCCACCTCAGCCTCCTGAGTGGCTGGGATTACAAGCACATGCGCTACCATGCCCAGCTAATTTTTTATTTTTGTAGAGATAGGGTCTGAATCTGTTGTCCAGGGTGGAGTACAGTGGCACTATCATAGCTCACTGCAGCCTCCAATTCCTGGGCTCAAGCAATCCTCTTGTATCAGCCTCCAAAATAGCTGGGACGACAGCTGGGTGCCACTGCATCAGTTTTCTTCAATTTTTTTGTAGATAGAGTCTCTCTGTGTTGCCCAAGGCTACTCTCCAACTTCCACCCTCAAATGATCCTTATCCCTTGACCTCCCAAAGTGCTGAGATGACAGGCATGAGACACCATGCTGGGCTCACAAGTTGATTTTTTTTTTTGAGACACAGTGGCATAATCTTATCTCACTGCAACTTCCACCTCCCGGGTTCAAGTGATTCTCCTGCCTCAGCCTCCTGAGTAGCTGAGACTACAGGCATGCACCCCCATGCCTGACTGATTTTTGTATTTTTAGTAGAGATGGGGCTTCACCATGTTGGACAGGATGGTCTTGATCTCCTGATATCATGATCTGCCAGTCTCTGCCTCCCAAAGTTCTGGGATTACAGGCATGAGCCACCATGCCTGAGGAGGTGGGCAAGCCAGCTCTGTGATTTTTTGAGATAAGAGGTCATGGGAAATACCCACACCTCCATTTGAGGTGAAGTCCCTCTCCCCCTCCCCTTGGTCCCACACTTTGGGTCCATTCCTCAGTTACGTAGGTGGTGTGGAGAGCTGATTTATAGCTGCTGGCATCTGCACTCTATCCCCTTGCCAGGCCCCGTTGGGTCATGCCTGTTGTCCACAGGGTCTGACCTAGTAGGTGTCCAGGAAATGGAATCCATCCTGGTGAGATTGGGCAGGTATGGAAAAGGCCAGTTGCCACTTCCTCAGGCAAGGCAGGACCTGTGTCCTTGCAGGCAGAGAAGAGAATGGGTCATCTGGGCACCCTCATTATCTCCACTGGCTACAGGATCATGCTGTCAGCTGCAGCCACCTTCCCCTGCTGTCCCTAGGTGCTTATCATGCTTTCAACTTGAATCTTGAAGTAAATTCTTTTGTGCCTCTTGTCTGAGCAGGAATCACTGTCCAGGGAATGGATCAACTACACGTAGGAGGTTTATTTTAATTTTTTTTGTTGTTTGTTTTGTGTATATTTTTTTTTCCTGAGATGGAGTTTCACTCTTGTCACCCAGGCAGGAATGCAATGGCGGCATCTCAGCTCACTGAAACATCCGGGTTCAAGCGATTCTCTTGCCTCAGCATCCAGGCCTCCAGAGTAGCTGGGATTACAGGCGCCAGCCATGACACCCAGCTACTTGTTTTTTTTTTTTTTTTTTTTTTTTTTGTAAAGACACCGTTTCACCATGTTGGTCAGGCTGGTTTTGAACTTCTGACCTCAAGTGATCTGCCCGCCTTGGCCTCCCAAAGTGCTGGAATTACAGGCATGAGCCACAATGCCTGGCTGTTTTTTTGTTTTTTGAGACAGAGTCTTGCTCTGTTACCCAGGCTGGAGTGAAGTGGCATGATCTCAACTCGCTGAAACCTCTTCCTTCCTCTTTCTCCTGCCTCAGCCTCCCGAGTAACTTGGATTACAGGCACCCACCACCGTGCTGGCTAATTATGATATTTTTAGTGGAGACAGGTTTTCACTATGTTGGCCAGGCTGCTCTTGAACTCTTGACCTCAAGTGATTTGCCTTCCTTGGCCTCCCAAAGTGCTGAGATTACAGGCATGAGTCACCATGCCCAGCCTATTTTAATGTGTTTTTAAAGATGAGGTCTCACTCTGTTGCTCAGGCTGGAGTGCAGCGATGCAATCATGGGGGCCTCACTGACCACTGGCACAACACCTGGGTCCCACATGAGGGATACAGGGTGGGGGTTCTTGGGTCAACAGCTGAGGGCCTGAGCACACCCGGTGGGGAGGTGGCTTGTAACCCTTGAGAACGGCTTCATCCCTGGATTGGGACTTGAAGTTTCCTTGAGCAGTGGGAAGCCATTGCTGCTACTGCTGCTTTTTTTTTTTTTGAGATGAACTCTTTCTCTTTCCTTCAGGCTGGAGTGCAGTGGTAAGATTTCTACTCACTGCAGCCTCCACCTCCTGGGTTCAAGTGATCCTCCCACCTCAGCCTCCTGAGTAGCCGGAATTATAGTCATATGCCACCACACCCAGCTAATTATTTTATTTTTACTAGAAACGGCGGTTTCACCATGTTGTTCTGGCTGGTCTTGAACTCCTGACTTCAGGTTATCCAGTGGCCTCAGCCTCCTGAAGTGCTGGGATGACAGGCATAACCCACTGCATCCAGCCTGGAAACATTGCTTCTGAGGGCACACTTTCCTGGGGACTGTCTGGAGGGCTGGAGTAGTAGGGGGAGACAGCCTACCATGCCTGCCTCAGTTTCCATGGTGAGACTTCACTTCTACAAAAAATATGAAAATTAACCCAGTGGAATGGTAGGTGTCTGTGGTTTCAACTACTCAGGAAGCTGAGGTAGGAGGATTGCTGGAGCTCCAGAAGTCAAGGCTGCAGTGAGCCATGATCTGGCCAATGCACTCTAGCCTGGGTGACAGACCAAGACCCTGTCTCAAAAAGTAAATAAATATGGGTTGAATGTGGTGGCTCACACCTATAATCTCAGCACATTGGGAAGCTGAGGTGGGCAGGTCACCTGAAGTCAGGAGTTCAAGACCAGCCTGGCCCACATGGTGAATTACCATCTCTACCAAAAAATACAAATCAGCCACCTCCAAACCCTAGACTCTGTGCTCCTGGGGCCACCCAGGTGCCAGTCTGAGGCCAACCCTAAAAGCCACCTCCTTCCCTCTCCTCCTCCTCTGCAGGCTGCACCCTGTACAAGCAGTTATCAGGATCCTCCTCCCTGGTCACAGCTGCTGTCCCTGAGGATCCAGGCCCCAAGCCAGCAGAAGTGGGCAATGACTTCCTGGGGGACTTTGTGGTGGGCAATCAGTCTGGTGTGAAGCCAGACACAGTGCAGTACCTGGGTGAGATGCAGTTGGCACCAGGACAGTGGGCCAGTGTGGTGCTGGTTGACCCAGTGGGCAAGAATGATGGTGTGGTGGGCAGTGTACGCTACTTCAAGTGCCCAGCTCTCCAGGGCATCTTCATGTGGCCCTTCCAGCTTCCCTGGCAGCCCACAGCTGACGGCTCGGGTAGCGACGACCACTCTGTGGAGTCACTGACTGCCCAGAACCTGTCACTGCATTTGGGCATGGCCATGCCACTGCTGAGCAGCTACGTAATCCTGCTGTGGGAGAGCATCCTCAACAGCTCGGTGAAGATGGGCAACAAGTGGGGCTCTTACCTCTGGGACAGTGGCTCTGTGAAGTGGGGCGATAAGGACCTGTGCCTGGGCGACTGCGTGCTGGTTAGTGCGGGCAGTACTGGGCTGTGGAACCAGCCTCCCTTCCTTCCCCTGCTCCACCCCCCATGGCCAAGCTGAACCCCTGGGGCTGGCAGAAATGGGACTCGAAGGGGGCTTGGACAGGGTCCAGCCTGGAACACCTGTTCCTTATCAGGACCATACAAAGTGACAAGAGAGACAGGTAATGTGGGCTCTGGAGACTGTTGTTGCATGACCCTGGACAAGTGTCTTAAACTTTCTGGGCCTTACTCTTTGTATTGGTAAAATGGAATTTTCATTTTTGGAGACGGAGTTTTGCTTTTGTCGCCCAGGCCGGGGTGCAGTGGCACGATTTTAGCTCATTGCAACCTCCACCTCCCAGGTTCAAGTGATTCTTCTGCCTCAGCCTTCCAAGTAACCGGGGTTACAGGCTCCCACCATCATGCCTGGCTAATTTTTGTATTTTTAGTAGAGACAGGGTTTTACCATGTTGACCAGGCTGGTCTCGAACTCCTGACCTCAGGTGATCTGTCTGCCTCAGCCTCCCAAAGTGCTGGTATTGCAGGTGTGAGTCACTGTGCCAGACCAAAACGGGAATTTTAATCGTACCTCACTCATCGTTGGAAATGCGTTAAAATACATCATTTGTCTAGACAGTTCCTCACACTAAGTACCCCATACATTTTGGCTATTATTGACACTATCTGTTGATCCATCCCATCCACATGTGTGTGCCAGGCATGTACTGGAAAAGTCTGGGAACTGGAGTTCTCAGGGCCCCCGGTCCTGGCCGGGCACAGTGGTTCACGCTTATAATCCCAGCACTTTGGGAGGCTGAAGTAGAAGGATCCCTTGAGCCCAGGAGTTCAAGATCAGCCTGGACAACATAGTGAGACCCCGTCGCTACATAAAATACAAAAAAAAGAGTAATAACTGGGCATGGTGGCACACACCTGTAATCCCAGCTAACTCAGGAGGCTGAGGTGGGAGGAGGGCTTGAGCCTGGGAGGCAGAGATTGCAGTGAGCCAAGATTGTGCCACTGCACTCCAGGCTGGGTGACAAAGCCAGACCCTGTTTCAATAATAATAATAAGCCTGGGTGAGAGGCAGCTCACACCTGTAATACCAGCACTTTGGGAGGCCAGGGTAGGCAGATCACCTGATGTCAAGAGTTTGAGACCAGCCTGGCCAACATGGTGAAACCACATCTCTACTAAAAATACAAAAAATAGCCAGCTGTGATGGCTTGTGCCTGTAGTCCCAGCTGCTTGGGAAGCTGAGCCAAGAGAATCACTTGAACCCAGGAGGCAGAGGTTGCAGTGAGCCAACATCAGGCCACTGTACTCCAGCCTGGGTGACAGAGAGAGACTCTGTCTCAAATAATAATAAAAAAATAATAATAAGGGGATCTTGCCCAGGGCCAGGAGGTGAAGAAGTCTTATCAGCTACAACCCAATTGATGAGTGTTGAGGTTGAGAGAACTGGGTCACTGGGGCTGAAAGCTTCCTGCCGGAGCCCCTCTTTTCCACTAGTGCCCGCTGCTGGGGCCAGGTTGGAAACGGGTTGGTAACCCCCAGTCTTCTGGAGTCTAAATACAGCAGTGACCTGGGCTGCTGGTGGTCAGGTGGATGGAACAGGGTCATGTCTTGCTGCCCAATTAGGCTGCAGTGGCCCCAGGCTAACCCTAAACCCGGAACCAGAGCATTGGGAAAAGACTCACAGGGTACAGGGAAGTCCCTGATGGGGCCTTCTGGGCTTGGGGTGTGAGAAGATGTTGAGGGGGCAGGGGTCCCTGTTTCCAGTCTGCAAGACTTCCTGGGGGAAGGTGGGAGGTCGTTACAACCTGAGATGAAGAGCACAGGCTCAGAGCTCCAAGGCCGAGTAGAGAAGGGCGGGGGGTCTGGGGACCCAGAGCAGGGACTCCCAAAATGGTATTGCTGCCCAGGATCCTGCCTCCCTGCTCTGGGGACCTGGTGAAGGCTTCTCCTGGAGGTTTCTTGGAAGAGATTTTGGGGTTGTGGGCAGGAGAGCAAGAGGACGTGTTTACACCCATGGCCCCATTGAAGCCTCAAGCCTGTGCTGTGATGCGATTTTATCATCCTCACTTTGTGAATGGGAAAACTGAGGCTCAGGGAAGTTTAATAACTTGTCTGAAGTGACAAGTGGCAAGTGCCTGCCTACTGTTCACTGAGCCGTGTCCCTCTCTGCCCTGGCAAAGGTGAGGGCTCTGCTTTTTATTTTTTTGAGACAGCCTTTTTCTGTCACCCAGGATGGAGCACAGTGGTGCAGTCATAGCTCACTGTAGCCTCAAACTTTTGGACTCAAGCTATCCTCCTTCCTCAGCCTCCCAGGAGGCTGGGACTACAAGCTCATGGCACCATGCCTTTGCAAGCCTCGTTGCCCAAACAGAACTTTCCCTGAGTGACGTGATGGTGAGCATGGCTGATTGTGGTCCCTGCCCTTCAGCTGCCTCCAGCTTACAGGAGAGAGAGACCACAAGGCCAGTGGTGGCAGACATCAGTGTCTCCTACAGACTCTGCCACATGCCATGGTACTCTTAGCATCTGGCCTGGCCTGATGGAAGGCTTCCCTAAGGAATGGGGTGAGGGCAGAACTCAGAGAATGGCCTGGCATTGACCTGGTGATGTGGGGCTGGAGCGTTCGGCCAGGTAGAGACCCATGACCTGAGAGACTAGAGAAACTGTGAGAAGAGGTTGGGCGTGGTGGTTCACACCTGTAATCCCTGCACTTTGGGAAGCCAAGGCGGGTGGATCACCTGAAGTCGTCAGGAGTTCGAGACCAGCCTCACCAGTATGGTGAAAACCTGTCTGTATTAAAAATATAAAAATTAGCTTGGCATGGTGGTGGACTCCTATAGTCCGAGCTGCTTAGCAGGCTGAGGCAGGAGAATCACTTGAACTCAGGAGGCAGTGATTACAGTGAGCCAAGATTGTGCCACTGCACTCCACCTGGGTGACAGAGTGAGGCTCTGTCTAAAAAAACAAAAACAGTGGAGCAGGAGCAGCAGTGCCCAGGAGGGAGGCTGGACTCCCAGCCCCTGCACCTTCCTGTCCAGGAAACTTGTTTTGGGACCATCACTCTGCTCTTCCTCTTGTGGCTCTAAGGAAAGACAACCCCAGCCAACAGGACCTGGGGAAACTGCTTAGTTTCTCTGACCTGTTCTTCTGGATCCCTGGGGTCTGAGGGCACCTGCTGGCGTTGGGCACAGCAGAGAAATCAGTCCCAGGTCTGTGACATTGGGCAAGTCACTTACAGAGTCTCATTCTCATCTATTCATTCGCCATGTGTCCATTCAGCAAAATGTCAGTGGCTAAGCACAGCACTCTTGTTTTATGGTTTTTTGGGGGAGCATTAAGAGAGCTGAGGGCAGCCAGGTACAGTGGCTCATGCCTGTAATCTCAGCACTTTCTTCTTTGTGTCTCCTGAGTCTTCTAAATCTGCATCAATGGTTTCGCTCTTCGGAAGCCTTTCCAGGCCTCATTCTGTGCAGCAGGCCTGGACACACACAGATGAAAGCAATCAGCCCTGTTCTCCAGGAGCCAGTGCATGGGGACTCTGAGGCCTTCACATCCTGGATGGGGAGGGAAGGAGGAGGTGAGGGAGCCCAGCCAAGGGGCACAACAGGAGGTGTGGATGGGCCCACAACAGCTAGGAGGGAGCCAGCAGCGGGGAAGGGTATCTCTTAAAAAGGGCACAGCAAGTGCAAAGACCTGAGCAACAGTGCAAGACATGCAGGCTGGAGTGTGGGGCTCTGGGGGGAATATGGGCTCAGCTTGCTCTGTGACGTGACTCCTGACAGGGCAGTGAGCCTCTCGAGGGTGAGGTCATACCTTGCTCATCTCTGTGTCCCAGCATGGCTGGGGCTGGGGCCGGCCACCTGCTTGTGAAGGGTTTCACTATATTCAGACTGCTGGGACTCGACCCAGGAGGAATTGTACTAGTGTGTGTGTGTGTATGTGTGTGTGCATGTATGTATGTATATATGCATGTGTGCATGGATATGCATGTGTGCTCATGTGTGTGTGTGTGGACTTGCACGTGAGTGTGCATGGGTGTGTGTGTGCACATGAATGCATATGTGCCTATATGTGTGTGTGAGTGCATGTGTCTGTACGAGTGTACATGAGTGTGCATGTGTGTATGCATGTATGTGTGTGGGGGGTGCATGTATGTGGGTGTGTGTATGGGTGTGTGTGTGCGTGTGGGGGAAGTATGTGGGGGTGTAGGCATGTGGGGGGGTGTGGGTGTGAATATGGGTGTGTGTGCATGTGAGTGGGTATCTGGTGTGTACATGCATGTGTATGTACATGAGTGTGTGCATGCATGTGTGGGTGTGCATGTGGGTTTGCATGTAGGTGAGTTTGGGTATGCATGTGTGTGTGGGGCATATGTGGGGGAGTGTGCACATGTGTGAGTATGGGCATGTGTGGGTGTGCATGTGTGTGGGAATGGGGTTGTGAGTGTACCTACATGTGTATGTTGAGTTGCTAGTGGTCACACTAACCTTTGGTGTAGAGATATGCTTGTTAGGTTTCCCCTGCCTCTCTCCACCCCCATTCCACAACCCCCATTCCATTGAGTGTCCTCTGTAGTCTTAGGAATGACACTCCACAGTGGACAGTGAGAACACCCAAACACTTCCTCTCTTGGCAGCCAGAAAATCTGCTGCTGTCTGGGCAAGACACGGGGCAGGCAGCAGGCAAGCAGGGAGGCTGAGCTTCTTGGAACCTTGAGTAGGGAACATCCCTGGAGATGACTCAGGCCCTGCACCTGGCTGGGTGTAAGACTTCCCTGTGAACTTAAAATACAGTGTCTGGGCATGGTGCAGTGGCTCATGTCTATAATCCCAGCACTCTGAGAGGCCAAGGCAAGCAGATCACCTGAGGTCAGTAGTTAGAGACCAGCCTGACCAACATGATGAAACTGTGTCTCTACTAAAAATACAAAAATTAGCCAGGTGTGGTGACGCATGCCTGTAATCCCATCTACTCAGGAGGCTGAGG